TAGGTGCAATTTAGTTGGTTAAGTTAGTTAGGTTAATAATTTAAAATTAGTCGTAGCTATTTGCACGCATCAAGGTAAAAAATGTAAAATCCAAACACAAAAATCAAGCAAATCGGGCAAATAACAGAGACGCTATGACAATTCAAAGTTGTCTAAATTTCTGTAAACATGCTGAAACAAAAGACTCAACTTCAATACCCCATGTTTAGGGGCATGTGTCTCATTGAATATATAACCAAAAATAGCATATAAACTATATAAACAATCGTTTAAATTGTAAGCTACAAGATGGGAAAAAACCCAACCAAATCGGGCAAATAACGAAGACGCCATTACAGTTCAAAGTTGCCTAAATTTCTGCAACCATGCTGAAATTCTGGGTCGGGTATTTAGAAACGAATAAGCTCTTATTTGGATAACCCGGACCGAAAATCTTGAGAACCGAATAAGCCTAATATAGATACCCGAAACCCGAACCAGATTGCTTATTCAGGCCTAATTCAGTTCGATTCGGTTCGGGTTTTCGGTCCAAACGCTAATCCCTAACTATGACTATGAATCTTCCACCACATTTTTAGTCCACCGATACTTGTAAGTCCACCAAACTCATGCAATTTTCTTATTCATCTTATTTGACTTTGTTTGCTTCATTTATTGCCAATATATATAATATGTCAGAAACCGAGTCCTATAGAGAGGTTGTTTATATCTCCTTTGGCATAATGCTATGGTTGAGGAACTTACGACTCTTCACTAGACTCATAGGAAGGGTTAGTTTCACTCACACGAAAATTGACGACAAAAGTGATGAATGTTGTACTCTAATAACACAGTTGCATCCATTCGTTAGTTAGTGAAGATATTCCAAATGGATGTTGAGAATGTGTTCCTGAACGACGATCTTCATGAAGAGGTTTACATGACTCCTCACGTAAGTGTTGCCCACAAACCGGGTGAAGTTTGTTGGCTTCGAAAAATCCGATATATTTGGTCTCAAAAAAAGCCCTTTGTATTTGGTTTGAGAAATTCACTACGGTGATTACTTGTGTGTAATTATTCCATAAATGTAGTTAACATTTAAATGTGTAAAATTTCAAAAAACCAAAAGATGCTAAAATCTACTTGAAAGTAGATATTGGAGTAGAAGCTTAAAACTCGTACCGTTAAATGAACTTTTTTCTCTATCTCGAGTTTAAAATAAAAATAAAAAAAGTTATTAAAATCTTGCTACTAAACATACTCATTATAGGATACCGTTGATTATATACATATTTACATGTAAATATCTATTCATATGAAATTATTAATGAGTGATAATGTTTTCGACCTTTTTTTTTATAATGTTTATTTTGTTATTACAAGTTCAAAATATTTTTTATCATTATTTTAAACCCTCTGATTTAATATGATATGTTTTTTTTCTAAAAAAAACACATGTTTTTGTTGTTAAACTAAATTATTACTATAAGTTTTTTCAAATATTAGACCAACTAATAATCATCTCAATAAATACAATTATTTTGAAACTTTTTAACAAATTCTATTTTTCTTTTGTGCAAAGAGATGCCCCAAAATAGGGTGTTATATATGTGGTGTAAATGAAAGAGAAAATTACTTAAAAATATAACGAAGTTCCAAAAATATACAAAAAATACCATTGTCTTTTTGTTGTACAAAAAATACCATTGAACCGGCTATTGTAGGTAACCATCAGGTTACCCAGTTTTCAAAATGTTCAAAAAATACAATTGTTGTTTTTTAGTAAAAAAATACCATTAAAGTTACTATTTGTACACAAAATACCAACGAAGTATACATGTGTTCAAATAAAAGCTTGTGGTAACCAAGTACTTAAAAGCGTAACGAAGTTTCCAAAATGTTCAAAAAATACCGCACTTTTTGTTAACTGCGTTGTCGGATTATGTATAAGACAGTCACCGGACATCATGCACCGTAATATCAGTTCATAACAGTTGTGCAATCACTTTCATTCCCTCACTCAATCGTTCTTGTGGTAACATAAGAAGTAAGTAGTTAATAACCTTAGTTAAGCATTCTTGCTTCCCGATCACATTATATACCTGAAACCTAAAACATATATTCGTTATATAGATACACATATTATAAATTAAAGTTAGTCGTTCATCAGTGTTGCGGCACAAGAGAGATACAAAAGAGAAACGAGTGTGACGTTATATCATGAGTATTCCTAAATATGGATGTAAAGAGTATGAGTTGCGTTTAATTCTCCTGGACCAGTGAGAGATGAATGGCCACGAACACTCAACATCATGTGGATGATTTGATGACAATTTGTAGTCAAAGTGGAAAAAGAAGCATATGTGTTAGAGCGCTTGAACGCTTGCATCATAATTGATGGTGTTATGTTATGAAAATTCCTAAATACGGATGTAGAGAGTATGAGTTGCATTTAATTCTCCTGGACTAGTGAGAAATGAATGGCCAGGAACACTCAACATCATGTGGCCGATTTGATGACGATTTGTAGTTAACGCAGAAAGATTAAATTACATGAATGGTCCCTATGGTTGGGGGTAATTTGTGCATTTAGTCCATAACTTATTTTTTTAACTCGGAAGGTCCTTACTGTTTGTTTTTGTTACGCGTTTAGTTCATACTGTTTGTTTTTGTTATGCACTTGGTCCCTGTCTTACCTAAAAAGACTATTATTTAAATAGGAAAAAATGGCGGGGTAGGTAAGGTAAGGTGAAGGGTGGGGTTGGGGGTGTGTTTATTTAAATAAATTAGAAAATCAGGGGCAAAAGAGTCTTTTTAGGTAAGACAGAGACCAATAGCGTAACAAAAACAAACAGTAGGGACCTTCTGAATTAAAAAAATAAGTTAGGGACCAAACATACAAATTGCCCTAAACCATAGGGATCATTCGTGTAGTTTACTCATGTAGAAAAAGAATCATATGTGTTGGAGCGCTTGAACGCTTGCATGATAATTGATGGATTCTTAGTTATGTGTTTTTCTATGATTGTATTTAGATACAAACTGATCGAGTGAGAGAATGAAAGAGAGTACACAACTGGTGTGAACTGGTACGACGATGAATAATCTTCGATGACCGTATTCTTTATAATCCGGAAACAACAAAGTTAACAAAAGGTGCTCTGAATAAACAACAATGATATTTTTTTTAACATTTTGGAAACTTCAATGATATTTTTTGTACCAAAATGTGTACTTCGTTGGTATTCTATGTACAAATGATATACTTGAAGGGTATTTTTTGTATTGAAAAACCAATGCTATTTGCTGAGCATTTTGAAAACTTCGTTACCTTTTTAAGTAATTTTTTGGTTTACCTATGGTATCCGTTACCATAAGGTTTTATTTGAACATATTTTTACTTCGTTAGTATTAAGTATACAAAAAAGTATATTTTAATGGTATGTTTTATACTGAAAAAAGACAATGATTTTTTTTTTATATTTTTGAATTTCATTACCATTTTTTAAGTCATTTTCCCAAAATGAAATATCACATCTTCATGGGTCTGTGGGGTACGGACCTGACATTCTGGACGTGTTTGACAAAAGTAGTTGTTAGCTGGAAGCTGTAACTTTTATTTGCTATATGAGTGTTTGGCAAAAATAGCTGGAAGCTGTTGAAATATATAAAATTACATAAAAGGACAATTGATTAAAAATAAATAAATATATAAATATATTTTTAAGGGTAATAATGGAAATTGATTTCAAAAGCTCAGTAGTGTTTTGTTAAACGCTACATGAAGTAGCTTTTAGATTTAAAGTTTTTTGTTTAAACTAAAAGTTAAACGCTCGTACTGTCAAACGAAGATTTTTGTTTAAACCAGAGAGTTTTATTAAAAGCTAAAAGTTAGAACCTCCTAGGAACGCTTCCGAAAGCCCATGCCAGGCCCTCTATCGTGCTTCAATAGCAACATGTGGGACTGTTAAACTGTATTATTTGAGCTATACTCTGTAGTACGTTACGCAATGCTCTTAGTACCTAGATTATGAACTGCATTGCTTCCGTTCATCCAAATCCGTGGTATTTGCAGCGCAACAACAATAATTGAGGCTCGTTCATACTTCATATATTGGCCTTCTTCTTCACAATTCGAACCAGTTGTACACATACACACTTTACAAAGCAGCAAAAACAGCAAGCATCAACACAGGCGCATATAGTAGAAGAGGTATGTTTTTGTTGAAAGTTTTTCTCTTTGTTTATGAATAACTTTTCTTAGTTGTTTTTTGTTTTGAATCTATCGATCCTTGACGAAATTATCTGCAAAAAAATGTTTGCTTTGTTACTCGTTGTGGATTGTTCGTGTATGCTCCACATATAAAATCAAGTAAATGTTTAAATCTCCTCATTTTCCCTCTTTTGATTATCGAACAATGTTTTGGAGGAATGGTTTTCTTAGGACAGATGCTTCCACGTAGAGATCAGTTCTAGCCCTAATAAATCAACTAATTGTATTACTGTAGGACTCTGTTTACAACTAATAAATCCCTAATTAAAAGGCACGGTATTTTGTTTCTCATCTCTCACAATTTTACAAGATGACGAAGATGTTGAAATTAACAATCTATTCCCACTTTCAATCATTTCAAAGAAAACCAAGGTTATGTTGACAAGGGACGACAAACAACAAATTAACTATGAATTTACATACACATTAATTTACCAACTACCAATTCCTTTCTAGCCAATCGTGTTATGTGTCCTAAATCCTGAAGGAAATTTTTATAACACTAATTATCTATGGATTGTATAAGATATTTGAAAAAAGATAGCTACGCAAGTTAATAATTAACAACTTCTAACAATTTCATTGCCTTTTTTTTGTCTGTTACATGGTTTGCAGGTCTCTGTAAAAGCTAGAATATTGAAAGATGGAGTTTGTATCTGCAATCATTAGTCCTATTGTTGAATCATTAAGGGGTCTTGTAAAAAAACAGCTGGGATATATCTTTTCCTCCTCAAAACATGTTAGGAACATGAATTCCAAAATGAAGCAACTGGATAGTACAAGCAATGATGTCAAAAAGCACATGAAAACAAACAACATAAGTAATCTGAAGATACCTGCTCGTGTATCGGGTTGGTTGGAAGAGGTTGAAAAGATTAAAGAAGATGCTCAAAGCATTTCAAGTATTGGGAATGGATGTTTTAACATGAAAATGAGGTATCGAGAAGGAAGGAATGCATTCAAGATCATGCAGGAGATGGATATCTTATTGATGAAAATAGTAAGATAATTTGGACAAATGCTCAAAAACCTCTTGGGAAAGTGAACTCAAAAATCACATCCAGTTCTGCACCTTCGGATGGTGATGCCCAAAATCACTTCAGATCAAGAGAAAAGTCTTTTAAGAAAGCCTTGGAGTCCCTCGAACAAGATCGCACGAGCAAAGTGATAGTCGTATGTGGAATGGGAGGTGTGGGGAAAACCACAATGATAGAACAACTGAAAAAGACTGCAGAAGATAAGAAAATATTTAATTATGTTTTGAAGTTGGTTATTGGGCAACAAATTAACATGTTTTCTATTCAGCAAGCTATAGCAGAATACATGGGCCCATCTCTAACTGAAATGAGTAAAGAAGCAAGAGAAGATCGTCTTCGTATAACATTTGAGAAACTTCCAGAAGGTAAAAGAAAGGTTTTGCTGATATTAGATGATGTATGGGAGACGATTGAACTCAAAGATATTGGACTGAGTCCTTTGCCCAACGGCTTCAAGTTGTTGCTGACATCACGAAATGAAAATATTTGCAAACAAATTGCAGTAGAAGTTAATTCGGATTTAACACTAGTTCGAGTGGATGTGATGGAGGAGCCCGAAGCACAGAATTTCTTTTGGCAAATCACAGGAGTTTCAAAACAACATGGTCAGGAGTTCAATCAAATAGGAAGTGAAATTGTGAGAAGATGTGGTGTTTTGCCCCTTGCCATTAAACTCATCGCGAAAACCCTTCAATTTCAACAAGTTTTTGTATGGAGAGATACTTTTCAACGGTTGAAGAAGAAGAATCTTGATGAGAATGTGCAAGAAGTTATTAAGATAAGCTATAATTATATAAAAACAGAGGAGGAAAAGGTGAATTTTCTTCTGTGTGGCTTGTTTCCTGATGACTTTAATATTCCAATCGAGGAACTCACAAGATATGCATGGGGCCTATGGTTGTTAAGTGAAGTTTCTACAGTGGGAGAGGCTAGAGACAGGACAAAAACATGTGTGCAGAATCTTACAAATGCAAATTTGTTGATGGATAGCTATTACATTGGGTGTGTCAAAATGCATGATCTTGTGTTTGCTTTTGTGTTAGGTAGAGTTTCTAAAGGTGACCATCCATGGATAATCAACCATGGTGATATTTCAAAGTGGAGTAGAGCTGAAGTGAGAGAGTCATGCAAAAGAATCTCTATTACTTGCACGGATATGTCTGAGTTTCCTAATGACTCTAAGTTCCCAAACCTTTTACTTTTGAGACTTATGGATGGAGATTAGCCGCTTAAGTTTCCTGAAGGTTTTTTATCAAAGAATGGAAAACCTTGAAGTTGTAGCATATGTTAAAATGCAGTATCCGTTGCTTCCTAGATCACTTGAATGCTCCGCCAAGCTACGGACACTCATTCTCCATAAATGCTTATTGATGTTTGATTCCTCTGTAATTGGTGAACTCTTTAATCTGGAAGTGCTCAGTTTTGCACATTGTGGCATCAGAAAGTTACCATCCACAATCGGAAAGTTGAAGAAGCTAAAGCTACTGGATTTGACAGGGTGTCTTAATCTTCGTATTGATGATGGTGTCTTGATAAATTTTGTTGAGCTTGAAGAGCTTTATATGAGAGTTGATGATAGAAAGGCAATCAGGTTCACAAATGGCAATCGTGCTGAATTAGCAGGGCTTTCAAATCATCTTTCTGCATTAGAAGTTGAGTTCTTTGACAAAAACGGTACGCCCTAGAATATGTTGTTTACTAATCTTAAAAGGTTCAGGATCTCTATGGGAAGTGGTTTAGTAGACAATACTAGCAAAAATAGGCACTCATTTGACAACACGTTGAGGTTGGTTACTAACAAAGATGAGGTCTTGGAATCTAGAATTAACGAGTTGATTGAGAAAACTGAGGTGCTTTATTTGGAGGTGGATGGTATGAATGATCTTGAAGAAGTTTTAGTGGAACCAGATAATCTTCGTCGACAGGCGTTTAATACTCTATGAGTCCTTGATGTTTTCAAGTGTAAAAACTTAAGATACCTCTTCACAGTCCCTATTGTAAAAATTACCCTTTTTGAATTAGCCAAACACTTAAATTTTACTTTTTATTTTATCCCCCCACCCACACACACACAAACTAGAATTTTTACTTTTATTTAAAAAGACTCGACAATCAATCATCGATAACAATCTAAATTATTTGAACAAATGCAATATATAAATCAGAAATTTTCTTCACAGTGCTCATCTTCACAAAAAATAATGTAAGCAATGTCATAAACTAGGTTGTTGATTGGAAATACATGTTGGCTCATTGAAGAATAACATAAGTTGCAATCTTTTAATATGTTTGTAATATTAAATGTATTTTTCTTTAATAATTGTCGTGTCTGTGATGATCTATGGTTGATTTTTCTTAGCAGACTCAACTCCCTATCTGCTCTACTTCAGATATGATAAAGCTACTTCAGTTCCCTTGGTCCTTTTCAAATTTAGTTGAAGTAGATGCACAGAAGTATAATGACAAATTGTTTGAAAACCGCATAATTTTTCCATGCAATGAGTTGCTTAATTTGAAGAATCTTGAAAAGCTTTATATTACCATAGAGTATGTTCAATCTAAAATAGAGGAGGTGTTTGAAGTACTAGAAGGGACAAACGATGATGAGAATGAAATACAATCTGTTGTGGCATTTCAGAAGCTAAAAGAGGTGACTTTGGGTGGATTAAATAATCTGAAGCATATGTGGAAGAGCAATCAGTGGATAGTGTTGAACTTTTCAAACCTTACAAAGGTGTCAATTAATAAATGTCCATATAGCACAGGTAAGATTACATCGTACACTTATTCCCTTCTTCCTAATCATGTACATGTTTCTCCACCTTAGTTATCTTATAATTGAATTGACTTTTTGTCATAGTTTCTTGCTTAGTACTCTTTCAATTCAGGTTATTAAACTTCTAGTTTCAAGTAATCTTATGTATGTATGATGTGTCCGCTTCTTGTATTTGATTAAGCTGCGACCAACTTAGCAATAATTACACAAGTTTTTATCAATTGGTTTGTACATGTTCCACTATTTTAAATAGTAAATAAATTCAGGGGTTGAAGGTGCATAGAATGATAATCCATCATACATGAAACTTTCTTAGCTCACACCGGGTAAGAAAGAAAAGAAAAGGGGTGAACCTAATTTGCTATAACATAAAACTTCCCTTAATTCAACAGATCTGTGCTCTTAATTTTTATGAACACCCAGTGTTTGATAAAATTCTTCAATGAAAAAAGACCCATAAACTTTTGGCTCCTCTTTTAAGTCAAGTGTATTAACGTTTGTTTTGTATATGAGCACTTCAATCTTGAAGAAGTGAGTCCATTTCTCTCTTGTATGTTGAGTGTGTCAGTCTCACCCATATAAAAGCTTTGTTTTTCAATCTCTGAAATAAAAAGAATAAAATTTGGTTACAGATATCTTATGTTCAGTGCAGGTTTTCATCGCCACCTTCAATGAATCTATCTCATGATGATTTTGAGTTAACAATTGTTCACAAAACCCAGATAAGTGACAACTATGCCCATGACTATGAGCCATCCATTGATTATTTTAAACCTATTTGAGAAACAGAACACTTATGCATATTATCTGATTTTTTATGCATCTGAGGCGTAACATTTTTTTTTATAATCAAATTTAGTTTGATACTGGAGTTGTCATTATTTATAATCAAATTTCGTTTGATATTAGTTGGGTGTTTGTGGAATTCATATGTTTATGGAATTCAGTGTTAAAATGAGTATAAATCAACAAAAATAGAGAAAAAACCAAATATATCAAGCTCAGATTTTGGAAAAACCACTAAAGTAGAAATTATTTGATGAAAAAAACATTATATTTTCATTCATTGTTTAATTTATCACTTTGTGCATGTTTTTGTTGACATACCGTTGTACCATATGATGACATGTAATTTTGTATGTGGTGGCTGGCTTAGTTGGATTTAAAGACGTTACCTGTCAAGTTGATTTTAAGTATGTAACATGAATATGATCATTTTCAGCCACCATTGTTGTTGTTGCTTTCCATTTCTTCAGCATCTTCAAACCTTTGGTCATTTATTTGAAGTTGTGTAATGATCAATGTTGCATACTTTATGTCAGTTGCATAAATTTGTAATGAAAGTGAAACATTGTTGCAGAATTTGCCTAAAAAAATGAAACATTGGTGCATAAACTGGTCCTAGAATAAATGTGGCTTAATGTATATTCTGTCTAAAAAACTACATTATTGCATAAATTGACTAACATGTGCAATCAATGTATGTGGCTTAAACATGTTAAACCATATGGTTAAAAATGTTATTCACCCACTTTTCTTATAAGCATATGGTTCTTATTACAAATGGAATCCTAATAGACAGATGAAAATAAAATCATATTCCTAACCATCAAAACAAGTAAACAACACTTCTCAAGAATACATTTATACATGAAAGCAAAGTTGTATTGGAAAAGTTGTTGTGTGAGTAAAGTCCAAATGTAACAGGCATACCTGGTGAACTCCATCTATACATAAGATGAGAATTAATGACACTAGATTGTATAAACTTTAAACTAATTACTAAGTAGCATAAGTAAAAAGTGTTTATACCTATACCCGTAACAGCTCCCAACTTATCAGCACTAAAATCCAATTATGCATCCTTTGAACTCTGAAGAAAGAATTAAAAATCAGAAAATTGTTCAATATGGCTTGAAAATACATCCCAAACCACACATTTCATCGAATACGGAGAGTGCATTCCTTGTCGGCCTTTCTTCGACAAAGATGATGTCAAACACAGAAGGAGAAAACCCTAAGATTCCCTATAAATCCTAACTAATTTAAGCCAAGTACACAATCCCAAATGACAATCTTCCTCACAGAACCCTACTAGTGCCCTCAAATAGGATAACACCAAATATGATACCAAATTTGAACTTCTCAAAGGAATTGCAAATATATACGGATATTGTTTACCTGTGACGAAATAATAACTCTAATAATCTTCTTTGAGAGTTTCGATGCCGATGGTTGAAGCCTTGAGACAGTGTCGGTGCCTTTGGTTATGGTGGCGCAAGAAGAGGTCGGTGACTGTGGGAATTATGAAAGGTTCCACGATTGTGAATATTGACGGGCGTCATGGGAGGTGATCGTTGGCAGGGAGCGTCAAAGAGTGAAGGGCATTAAGCGTTTTTTTTTAAGCAAATGATTTGGTTCACTCTTTGAGATTAAAATGGTTTTTTTTTTTTGACGGATAAAGAAGGTAAAATAAGCGAAAATGATTTATATAATACTTTTATGGAAAATAAATTAAAAAGGTAATATTATTTTTATTTTGTATATATTTACTCTATATTATTATTATTTACAAAATACATATATGTTAACTTGTTAGTTTTGTGTAACACCCGTTTTTGGTTTGTGAGTTCTCTCTTGATCTTCTTTAAGTTGAGTTAGTTTGGGTTTTTGGGTGGGTCACGAAGCGGCTACTTAATGGTTGCGGCGTATGTCACGTCATTAAGTAGCAACATGGCCTTATGGTTGTCGAGACACGAAGCCGTCACAACCCAAAACCATAGATCGCGTGTCTTGATCCCTATTTGTCACACCCCCGAACCAGACGGCAGAAACGTCCAAAGGCTTGTGCGTGACTTCATCTTGAAATATCATTACAATGAGTATAAATGAAACGTAGCATCATCATCACCATGCATAGTATAATACAACTGCCATTGTTTACATCAAGTACAATATTGTAAATTACATATCCAAACATTCAAAGCATGGTGTTTAACAGTACACAAAGCAAAATCTCATATTCTTGTTGATTCTTCCGCTTAACGAGTTCCTGAGAATACAAGTTATTTTAAAAACGGTCAACATAACAATGTTGGTGAGTTCATAAGCATGTTTGAATGAAAAGTTTTGTATCGTTAGTAAAACACCAGAAAATCCGATATTTTCTATAGATTAGTTTGAAAATGATGTATCAAATCACGTATTAATGCATGTGTGTTTACTGTAGTTAAAATGTATCGATAATAAAAATGTAATCCAGATAAAAATCATGTATTTTCTGTTGTAAGTAGAAGGTAATGTATAATTGTATTGATCCCAGAAAATCCGATATTTTCTGCTTATATGAGTATTGATGACATAAAATTTCCAAGACCGTGTATGGATGTATGTATGTTTTTAGTATCGTCAAGATTAGTATTAACATACCGAAATCTTTGATGAAGTTA